AAGCTGAGAAAGGGACAAAGATGTGGGGACTAAACAATATGCTATTGAACAAGCAATGGATCATTGAAGAAATTAAAGAAGAAATCAAAAAATATCTGGAGACAAATGAAAATGATAACATGCCATTCCAATTCATATGGGATACTGCAAAAGCTGTATTAAGAGGGAAATTCATCGCAATACAGGCACACCTTAACAAACAAGAAAAATCCCAAATAAGCGATCTCAAATTAAACCTAATTGAATTAGAGAAAGAAGAACAAACAAAGCCCAAAGTCAGCAGAAGGGGAGAAATAATAAAAATAAGAGCAGAAATAAATGCTATTGAAACAAAAAAGGCAGTAGAAAGGATCAATGAAACAGCTGATTCTTTGAGAAGATAAATAAAATTGACACACCCCTAGCCAGACTTACAAAGAAAAAGACAGAGAAAGCTCAAATAAACAAAATCAGAAGTCAAAGAGGGCAAATGACAACAGACTCCACAGAAATACAACGGATTATAAGAGAATACTATGAAAAACCATATGCCAACAAAATGGATAACCTAGGGGAAATGGATAAATTCTGAGACTCTTACAATCTCCCGAAGCTAAGTCAAGTAGAAGCAGACAGTCTGAATGGACCAATCACAAGGAAGGAGATTGAACCAGCAATCAAAAGCATCCCATAGGATAAAAGCCCAGGTCCAGACAGCTTTCCTGGGGAATTCTACCAGACTTTCAGAGAAGACTTAATACCTATCCTTTTCAAGCTATTCCAAAACACTAGAGAGGATGGAGCACTTTCTAACACATTCTATGAGGCCAACATCACCCTGATACCAAAGCCTGACAAGAACAGCACGATAAAGGAGAACTACAGGCCAACAGCGCTGATGAACATCAATGCAAAAATTCTCAGCAAAATTTTGGCAACCCAAATTCAGCAATTCATGAAAAGGATCATACATCATGAACAAGTGAGATTCATACCAGGGCCTCAGGGATGGTTCAACATCCACAAATCAATCAACAAATTGAGGAATAAAAACCACATAATCATCTCAATAGATGCAGAGAAAGCATTTGACAAGATCCAACAGTCATTTATGATAAAAACTCTGAACAAAATGGGGATAGAAGGAAATTACCTCAACATAATAAAGGCCATATGTGGCAAACCCACAGCCAGCATCATACTCAATAGGAAAAAACTGAGTGCCATCCCCCTGAAAACAGAAACGAGACAAGGATGCCCTCTTTCCCCACTCTTATAGTACTGGAGGTTTTGGCCAGAGCAATTAGGCAAGAGAAAGGAATAAAAGGAATCCAAATAGGGAGGGAAGAAGTAAAACTCTCGCTGTTTGCAGATGACATGATCTTCTATATAGAAAACCCCAAAGTTGGGGCCGGCTCCGTGGCCAAGTGGTTAAGTTCGCTCACTCCACTGCGGCAGCCCAGGGTTCAGATCCTGGGTGCAGACATGGCACCCCTCGTCAGGGCATGTTGAGGCAGCGTCCCACATCCCACAACTAGAAGGACCTGCAACTAGGATATACAGCTATGTTCAGGAGGGTGGGTTTGGGGAGACACAGCAGAAAAAAAAACCTCCAAAGAATCCATTGGAAAACTTTTAGAAATAATCAACAACTACAGCAAATTTGCAGGGTATAATATCAACTTACATAAATCAGTAGCATGTCTATACTCTAATAACGAACTAACAGAAAAAGAACTCAAGAACACAATCCCATTCACAATCACAACAAAAAGAATAAAATACCTCGGGGTGAATTTAACTAAGGAAGTGAAAGACCTATACAATGAAAACTACAAGGCTTCCCTGAAAGAAATGGATGAGGACATTAAGACATGGAAAGACATTCCATGTGCATGGATTGGAAGAATAAACATAGTTAAAATGTCCACACTACCTAAAGCAATCTACAGATTCAATGCAATCCCAATCAGAATCCCAATGACATTCTTTACAGAATTAGAACAAAGAATCCTAAAATTCATATGGGGCAAGAAAAGACCCCAAATTGCTAAAGCAATCCTGAGAAAAAAGAACAAAGCTGGAGGCATCACAATCCCTGACTTTAAAACATACTACAAAGCTACAGTAATCAAAACAGCATGGTACTGGTACAAAAACAGGTGCACAGATCAATGGAACAGAATTAAAAGCCCAGAAATAAAACCACACATCTATGGACAGCCAATCTTTGACAAAGGAGCTGAGGGCCTACAATGGAGAAAAGAAAGTCTTTTCAACAAATGGTGCTGGGAAAACTGGAAAGCCACATGTAAAAGAATGAAAATTGACCATTCTTTTTCACCATTCACAAAAATAAACTCTAAGTGGATCACAGACCTAAAGGTAAGACCTGAAACTATAAGGCTTCTGGAAGAAAATATAGGCATTACACTCTTTAACATCTGTATTAAAAGGATCTTTTCAGACACCATGTTTCTCAGACAAGGAAAACAATAGAAAGAATAAACAAATAGACTTCATCAGACTAAAGAGCTTCTTCAAGACAAGGGAAAACAGGATTGAAACAAAAAAAGAACCCACTAATTGCGAAAAAATATTTGCAAGTCATATATCCACCAAGGGGTAATCTCCATAATATATAAAGAACTCACATAACTCAACAACCAAAAATCAAACAAGCCAGTCAAAAACGGGCAGGAGACGTGAACAGACATTTCTCCAAAGAAGATAATATGGGTGGCCAACAGGCACGTGAAAAGATGTTCATCATAACTGATCATCAGAGAAATGCAAATCAAAACTACACTAAAATATCACCTTACACTCCTTAGAATGGCAAAAATAACCCCAAAAAAAGTAGCAAATGTTGGAGATGTTGTGGAGGAAAAGCAACCCTCACACACTGCTGGTGGGAATGCAAACTGGTGCAGCCACTATGGAAAACAGTATGGAGATTTCTCAAAAAAATAAAAATAGAAATAGCATATGACCCAGCCATCCCACTAGTGGGTATTTATCCAAAGAGCTTGAAGTCAGCAATTCCAAAAGTCCTATGCATCCACATGTTCATTGCAGCATTATTTATTTACAATAGCCAAGAAGTTGAAGCAACCTAAGTGCCCATCAACTGATTATTGGATAAATAAGATACGGTCTATATATATACAATAGAATACTACTCAGCCATAAAAAAGAATAAAATCGTCTCATTCACAACAACATGGATGGACCTTGAGGGAATTATGTTAAGTGAAATAAGCCTGATAGAGAAGGACAATCTCTGTATGACTCCACTCATATGAGGAATTTAAACATGTAGACAAAGAGAACAGTTTAGTGGTTACCAGGGGAAAGGGGGGATGGGGTGGGCACAAAGGGTGAGGGGGTGCACCTACAACACGACTGACAGACAATAATGTACAACTGAAATTTCACAAGATTGTAACCTATCATAAACAATAAAAATTAACTTAAACATATATTTTATTGTTTATAATAGAGTCAATTGAAGGTATCAACGGTTTCAAGTACATTAGCCACAAAATAAAACCTTGAACAAAATCATAAGCAGAATAATGAAAATATTAAGATGATATTAATAAATGCTGTTCCAATATTATCAGAAATATTAGAGGGAGATATAGATAAGAAACTAGAGTACATGGGTATTTATCAAGAATAATTATTTTGCCTTTGCTATTTTTAATCAATGAAAAGCTTTAAAAATTTTGGCTTTGTGTGTGCATATATAGATATTTACAAAAAATCTAGTTTGGGTAATAACTTTTGAGTAGAAAGATTTTTGGGTCTTCTGAAGTAATAAAATTGAACTGAATATCAATTACAATAATTATATAATATAGATTATTTTTAGTGCCCCCCCCAGTGCATTTAGTACCATCCACATTATTCCAGTTGCAGCAATAAATTATATGATCACCATTGTTATAAGACTCTAGTAAGTGTTGAAAAGTCGTGAAGAAAATAATAAAACAGTGCTTGGGAGACCAAACCCACATATTTCAGCATTTTATGAAGACGAGGGTTAAGAGTACTTCCTTTCCTACAAAATTGCATATATGCATGTAGTCAGACAGACAGACAGACAGATAATGACAGCAATAGACATAGAGGGTGCAGGCATAACTTTCCTTACCTATGGAAATATAAACAAACCTGTAAACCCAGGCCCTACACGCTGAGTCCAGTTTGTTTGCTTGTTTATTTTAACCTAGGCTATTTTATGACAGACCCAATCTTTGTACCCTCCAAACTCTTATATTTAGTGATCATTATACTTGAATCAAGGAAGAAGTTTTGGTTCCTTTGAAATTTCTATATGTGAAATGGCATCTCAATGTTTTAGAAATATAGCTCATGTGAAAATGACCATGAAAGTGCTAAATGATGACGTAATAAATTGGTGATTTATAGCTGACTGACTTAGCACAAAGATTATTACATGATACCAAATGGGACATACAACCTAAGCTCTGGAGCTACAGAATTATTTCTGATATTTTACATCCTGTTGCTTCCTGTGTACCCATATGGTTAATAGTACAAGTCACACTATTTACCTGAATTTCTGTGTAGACTATGAGTTCTCAAATGTTTCCTAGGTTTTTCTGTTCAATGAATGGAAGATTTCCAGTGTGGCACAGCTGGTGTTCCCACGGTCTTTAGGAAGATAGTCCATGAAGATTTCTCAAGTGTAAACTGGTACTGTAGGTTTGTCATGAGTTGAAGACAACAGAATATGTATCTTTATATTCACTTTCTTTCTCATTCGGTGTTGGTAGAGAGTACCTAGCCTCCTGCGTTACTCTAGCAGGCTCCTGGGATTCTTTTAAAGCGGGAATATGTTTGCAAGTGGAATTTTCTGGTTTTCAATTAATTTTTATATTTGAGTCCTCATGAGAGTTTTATATGCATCTTCTTTGCCATCTTTACACGTCGCTCTTTACACTTTAAATTCAATACATGTTAACATTTGATAAATCTCTTTTTTTTTCCAGAAGAAAACTCTTTCAAAACTATTACCCCAATATCTAGAAATGCACATTATAGTGGAAAAAGCTTTGGTAAGTCCTTCCCTTCCTCCCCCACTCCCTCCCTCCCTCCCTTCCTTCCTCCCTCTCTCTCTCTCTCTCCCCCTCCCCCTCCCCTTCCTTCCTCACTGTCTCCCTCCCTCTCTCCCCAGTCTCTCCCCACCTTCTCCTTCCCTCTTTCCCTCTCTCTTTTGAAACTTATGAAAATTTTTCCTTAATTTCAAAGACATAATGGAATTTTTAATCATTTACAAACAGAGATATTTCATTTTAGACGTTACTCAGTTATGACTAAAAGCCCAAACCAGCCTAGAACTGTCCTACACAATCTACCTGCCTCCCATCCCCACTCAGTCCAGTATGTTCTTGACGTCACTTCCTAACAGCCTTGCCCTTCCCTTAACCTGCTCCAGCATCTCTGGTCTCATTGTTTTCTTTGAACATACCAGGTATTTACCATCTTACCAATCCACTTAATATTTTTTCCAATGTTTTTGAAGAATAATTGACAAATATAATTGTATATGTTTAAAGTATACAACTTATGATTTGATGTACATATACATTGTGGATTGATCACCAAGATCAAGCTAATTAACACATCCATCACCTCACATAATTAACTCTTTTCCTTTCTTGGGTGTGTGTGTGTGTGTTGAGAACACATAAGATCTACTATCAGCAACTTTCACATATACAATATCATATTATTAATTCTAGTCCTCATGATTAGATCCTCAGAACTTCTTCTTATAACTGAATGTTTGTATCCTTTGACATGCATCTTTCTTTCCCCCTTCCTCCAGCCATTGACAGCCACCATTCTTTCTATTCTGTTTCTATGAAATTGGCTTTACTTTTTTTTTTTAGATTCCACATATAAGTGATACATACAGTTTTTGTCTTTCTTTGTCTGGCTTATTTCACCAAGTATAATGCCCTCCAGGTTCATCAGATTGTTGAAAATGGAAGGATTTTCTTGTTTTTACAACTGAATAATATTCCATTTTCTGTATATACCACATTTTCCTTGTCCATTTGTCCATTGATGGACACTTAGGTTGTCTCCATATCTAGGCTATTGTGATTAATACTGCAATGAACATGGGAATGCAGATATCTCTTTGAAATGTTGATTTTGTTTTGCTGGATCATATGGTAGTTCTATTTTTAATATTTAAAGAACTGGCATACTGTTTTCCATAATGGCTGTACCAATTTACATTCCCATACAGTGTGCAAGGGTTCCCTTTTCTTCACATCCTTGCCAACATTTGATATCTCTTGTCTTGTTGATAATAGCCATTCTAACGGGTGAAAGATGATATCCATTGTGGTTTGTATTTCCATTTCCCTGATGATTAGTGATGTTGAACACCTTTTCATGCACCTATTTTTCACATATAGTTTTTATGATTCATCTCTAATTGATAAAAGTATGTGGTGTGAGATTGAGGTTAAGACTGATTCTTTTCCATGTCATTTGCTCCGGCACCATTTGTAAAAAGTGATCCATTTTATCTTATTCAATCGTGGTGGTAATTTTGAAAAAGTCAGGTAATGGAATATGCATGGCCTATTTCTTGAATCTTTATTCTTTTTCATTGGCCTGTTTATGTTTTGTGTAATCGATGCTACACTGTTGTAATTGCTGTACGTTTATTGCTGTTTCGTTTATTTGTTTAAATCCTCTTCTTATTCTTCGTCGTTGCTTTGAGTATTCTGGGTCCTTCACATTTAAACACATTTTAGAATTGCTCCACAAGTTTCCACACACACTCATACAAACGTGGAAAATAACTGTGATTTTGATTTGGGGATTGATTTGGATGCTTAGGTCACTTTGAGGTGAGTGGTCATGTTAACAGTATTGAGTCTCCCAATCCATATGTACATACATAGCTTGACATTTTTTGTCAATTTCTTTCATCAGTGTCCTGTAGTGACCTTGAACATCCTTATTGGCTTTATTGTTGTGTTTGATGGTTTATCAAATGGGTACTTTTTACTAGTAAATGTTTTTTTTACTTTAACATTTCAGTTTTTCTTGCTAGTTTATAAAATATGGCTGATTTTTTTAATATATTCATCTTATATCCTGTGATATATGTTGTTAATTCTTAGGAGGGGTTCTTTTGGTAGATTTCTTTGAAAATTCTATGTACACAATCATATCTGTGAATAATGATACTTTTAATTCCCATTTTCTAATTTTTGATTTCCTTTTCTTGCTTTTGTATATTTGTTGTTTGCTTTTGTTCCCTTTTCTTCCTTTATTGTCTTAGCTGGGCTCTCCAATACATATGAATGTGTTGTGTACATTCCTAACCTTTTCCCTGCATTATAGGGTAGCCATTTTCTATAAGTACATGTTACTTATTAATTTTGGTAGATAACCTTTATGATATTGAGGAAGTGCCCATGAAATCTTGGTTTTCTGAGATTTTTAAAATCGTGGACAGTTGTTGAATTTTATCAAATGCTTTTTTCTGTACCCATTGAGATGATTATATATTTTTTAAAACCACCCTTGTGTTTCTAAAATATATCCTATTTATTCAATTTATTTTATCCATTTTTACAAGTCATGGATCTTTAATATTCTGGTTAGGATTTTAGGGTTTATGTTTGTGAAATAATGGTATGTAATATTCCTTTCTTATAATGTTTTGTTTCATTGCAGTATCAAGATTATGCAGGCCTCATAAAATGAATTAGTTTTACTCTTCCAGTATTCTGTTCAAGAATTTAACAGTATGGGTTTGATCTCTTCCATATGTATTTGGAAGAATTCACCTCTGAAGCCATATAGATGTTAAGTTTTCTTGGAGGAAATATTGTTAAGTACAGATGTAATTGCTTTGACATGAATAGAGAAGTTCAGATTTTTAAATTTTTGTTTCACTTTCTCTAAGTTAAATTCTCCAGGAAGTTTTTCATATTATCTAAGTTTTCAAATTATTGGAGTAAAGGTGTTCATAATATCCTCTTATTATCATTTAAAAATTTTTAAAGTTGTAGTGATTTCACCATTTCTATTGCTCACCATTTCTATTGATGGTTTCTCTTTGCTCTTTTGTTTTACAATAGAGTCATCAAAACATGAAAATTAACATGCTTACTATACCATTTACTAGTCTGTAGATTTTGTTTGAATTTTGACAGTTTCCCCACAAATGTTGTTTTTCTAGTCCAGCCTCCAATCCAGAGTCCTACATTCCATTGAGTTGTCATGTCTTTATTCTCCTCCAATCTGTTAGCAAACTATGGTCTTTCTTTGTCTTTCTTGTCCCTTGGTACCTTTCTTTGTCTTTCTTGGTACTTTTCTTATATTGGAAAATACTGCCAGTTGGTTCTTTTGCAGGATGTACCCAACATGAGTTTGCCTGATGTTTTCTCATGATTAGATTGAGAATCTATATTTTTGAGAAGATTACCAAGAAAGTGATCCTTCCTTCCTTTCTTTCTTTCTCTCTTTTTTTTTTTTCCTGAGGAAGATTTGCTCTGAACTAACAGCTGTTGCCAATCTTCCTGTTTTTTGCTGAGGAAGATTCAACTTGAGCTAACATCTGTGGCCAATCTTCCTTTATTTTGTATATGAGCTGCCACCACAACATGGCCACTGACAAGTGGTGTAGGTCCGTGCCCTGGAATCAAACCTGGGCCACCAAAGTGGAGCATAGCAAACTTAACCATTAGGCCACTGTGGCTGGCCCTTAAAAGTGATCCTTTCATCTTAAGCTGTTGTTAAAGTAACACCGGTTTCATAAAACAAATTAGGATGTCTTTAACCCTTTTCTTATATTCTGGCAGATTTTGTGTATGAATGTTTTTATTTCTTCTTTCAGTGTCTGTGAGAATTCACTTTTGTAGCCCTCTCAGCCTGGTGATTTATTTTTGGAAAGGTTTATTATTACATATTCCATTTTTTATAGTTATATGATTATATTTTTTGAACTTTACCTGAGTTAGGTATGGTAAGTAGTCTTTTCAATGGTATTTTCAAATGTATCAAAATTTAAAAACTTATTGGCATAAACATTTTTATACACCATTGCTATTTTAATATCTTATAGGATGTATAGTTTGGTCTCCCTTTCATTCCTGAAATTGGTAATTCATATTATATATCTTATTTTCTTGATGGTACTTATTAGGGGTTTGTCAATTGTATTCATCTTTTCAAAGAACCTGTTTTTAGATTTTTGGGGGGTTTTTATGTTCATTTCCCATTTTATTGCTTTCTTCTGTTTCCTTTGCTATTTCCTCCCTTCCAGTTTCTTTGGTTTGAATGTTAAGATCATTAATTTTATGCACTTCTTATTTTATGATATATTCATGGTTAAAAATTTATATCTAGCCAAAGTGTCTTTACAATACAAGGTTTTTTCATTTGTTTCTAGTAACACAAGTTTTCATATGTCTGATTTCTATAAACATTTAGTTTTTAAAAAAATTATTTTCTAGTTCACTTGTGTGTGTGTGTGTGTATGTTTCTGTTTGACCGTTGGCTAATTTAGAATTACGTTAGTTAAATTCAAGATACTTGGGGATTTTCAAGTTATATTTTTGTTCATATCTAGTTTCATTACATATTTGTAACAGAACATTATCTGAATTATGTAAATTCTTTGAAATGTATTGTGACTTCGTTTTATGGCCCAGTACATGGTCAGTTTTGTAAATGTTCCCTATGCATTTGGAAAGGATTTATTATATTCTTCCCTTGTTGGATGCGGTGCTCTATTGCCGGGGTCCCGCACCGGCTGAGTCCAGGTTCCTGAGGGATGGACGGCGTCGGCGCAATGAGGGGAAAATAAAGGGGACGTGAGACTTGGGTTGGTGTTAGCAAGTCCGACTTTACTGTGCACAAGTGTCGTTTATATATTTTTCAGGATTAGTACAGAAACAGTTCTACAAATATTCTCAGAGAGATAAGGAAGTAAAGAACGAGCACAAGAATATTTATTAGCATTCTATTCTATAGAGCATAAGGTTAATGGTAGTCTTCTCCGCAATTTGCTAGTGTTTGTTGTCTCTAAGCTAAAGGAGATAGGTACCTAGGCGTCTGTTGTGATTCATGGTAAAGTTAAATCAAAGAGAGAAGGTCCAGGCCTCCGGACAGGACAGCAGTCTGTCTGGTTACATCCTGGTGGAGCCATCCCTGCCTCCCTCAATCATTTACGCCATTAGTGTAGACGGTTAATGGGAACAAAAGGCGACTCCAGTGTGTCTTATCCCCAGGGCTATCTGCATTCTCAGCGGGCAGTTAAACATCTTTACTTTTTCGCGCCCTTTAGGGGGTGGAAGCATTCCTTTGTCTTTTAGATTGTAGAGCTAACAGTCCCTTAAGCACACTGCCGGAGAAAGTATCATTTTGCTAGTAAAGTAAAGGGCTGAAAAGCTAAGCTAAACTGTATATCTTCAAGAATAAAAAACAGAAATAAGTATAGACATAACCTTGCTAGAAAGCATGCATATAATTCAGAAAATATCAGGGGTGTCGGCCGGCCATTCTTCACCGAGGGGCATTCTTGCACCCCTCGGCCCTTCTACTCATCAATTATTTATTATTTATTGCTTTTAGGAGAAAACCTCTATAACATTTTAACAGAAAGCAGAAGGTCAAGAATATATATAGATACTTCTTGATCATCCAATTAACCAGCAAACTTAGATGGACGATGCATATATATATTTAGACAAAGAACTGGAGGGAGAAGGAAACATTAACCAGATAGAGGCCATAAACCTAACTCGACATCTTATCTGGGCAGGATTCCTTTCTGCTTGTCTCAAATGGGACTGTGTGCTCCTCCAATAATTAACTGAAAAATATCTTGATAGTTACCTGCAGGTGGTCACATTCTCTTACTATATTTAATTTTCCCGGGAAGTAGTGCCTCCCAAGCAGCCACCCAAAGGAGTGAAAACTGGAGGTTAAGAAAGGAAAAGGAATGAAGGGCAGTTAGAAGCAGCACAGGTTTCAGAACTATGTGAGGGGCTGGCCGGTTATTCTTCACCAAGGGGCGACCCTGCACCCCTCGGCATTAATCGGCTGGACCCTGTCAAACAGCCGATCAAATGATGTAGCTACGGCTCCCAGCACTCTATGCATATTTATAAGTCAAATCTTTTAATTGTGTTGTTCAGGGCTTCTGTGTTTACTGAGTTTTCCCCCTCTTGTCCTATCAGTTACTAAGACAGTTATGTTAATATCTTGAACTATTATTGTGGAGTTCTTAAATTCTTGATTTAATTGTGTCAATTTTGTTTTCCATATTTTTATGACACGTCCAAAGCAAACATTGCTATGTCTTCCTCATATATTGAGAATTTTGTCTGTGTGAAATACACCTTTGGAACTAGTGATATTTTCCAAAATGTCATGACATTTAGTATAGGAAATTATACTTCTACTATTTGATGATCTTGAGTATTTTCAAACAGAATGTCATAAATAAAGATTTTTCTTATTTGTGTATTTTATAGGAATATATTTCATATATCTAACACTTGCATAATGCAGTGTCTTTTGTATGACAACACATTTTCTCTAGAATGTTTTTAATTCATCCAAAAGAAATTTGTAGTTAATTTTACATTTCTTCTTTTATTAGCGTTTCTAAGCAGTATATCAATTTCAATAACTGTTACAATTGCGAGTGAACAAGCTACACAGATTTCTAAGACTTGGTAGGGATTTCTTATTGTCAGTTTGTGAATTTGGCAGCTTTTGTGGAGGTATTAAGCATTTTATAATGACTCAAAGAACATTGTTTTCATTAAGCTCCCAAAATAAGTCCATATCTCTTAAGAACTTACCAGTTTCAGAGGAAAACTGCTTTCCTTTCTGTTTTCCTTTACATTATTTCATCTTATTCTTTCTCAAAATTTTTGAATCATACATTCTACATAATTTTTACTTTACATCATTGTGTTTTCTGTCTTTTTTTCCTGTAGATATATTTGAGCATTTTGATCATTGTTTTATGGGTTTTTTTAATTTGCTCTTCTTTATTTACTAAGCATGCAATGGGAGGTGCTATGATTTCCTCCATATCATAAAAAATTTCTAGCACAAGAAATCACTTTATAATTGGCAGAAATCCGTGAAGTTATTTTAGTACTTCTTGATGATTTCATTTGTTTCTGCTCGAGACTGTCTTTAAAATATATAACAAGTGAGGGGCGGGCCCCATGGCTGAGTGGTTGAAGTGCTGTGCAATCTACTTTGGCAGCCTGGGTTTGTGAGTTGGGATCCCAGGCATGGACTACTCCACTCATCAGCCATGGTGTGGAGGCATCTCACATACAAAGTAGATGAAGATTGCCATGGATGTTAGCTCAGGGAAAATCTTCCTCATCAAATATATATATAACAAGTGAGAATCTATTTTGAATGCCCAAGTATGATTTTTCTTTGTTTTTTTAACTATAAATGTTGTCATTTTTAGATTAGTATGATTTAAATCAGTTGACAAGTCCTATGACTTTTCTGCCTGGTATCATCAAGATATATTCACTATACAAAAAAATTGCTATTGCTCACATTTTTAAAAGAACCATAAAAATGTCTTTTTCAGTATGATTATATGGGATCAGAAATGATGGCTGTAACACAGAAAATTATCCAGATTATTGGCCTTGTTAACACTGTAAGTTTTAGCTTTTTTAAATTTATAATTTTTTAAAAAATTGTTGAAAATAATTTGTATCCTATCATGACAATTTAATGACTTAATGGCCTTTAATTGATTTAATATCCAAAATAATCAACTGAACTTTTTCTTTATTTTTTATACTGTTTTGATATAATAATTTATGTTAGCTGAATAAATATACCATAAATCTTATTTTTAGATGTTTACTCAGTTCAAATTGACTGTGATACTGTCCTCCTTGGAACTGTGGTCAGAAAAAAACCAAATTTCAGCCAATGGGGATGCTGATGATTTATTACAAAGATTTTTGGCATGGAAACAGGACTATCTTATCCTACGGCCTCATGACATAGCATTCTTACTTGTGTAAGTACAATGTCCTACATTAAGAAAGAGATATACATAAATAATTCCATTAATTTGATAATTTAATGCACTTATTGTGTTCTTCTTTCTGTAGGCCCCTTTAAAAATTTTAAAATGTTGCTGCTGCCATGGAGGTGACAGTGTAGTTGGACTACAATAAAAATAAAAATAACATGAATTAGTTATATAACAATATATTTTGGAATCTAATTATGTGAAAAGATCAGCCTTTCCTAAATTTTTGTGATGTCAACTATACTACAGAATATATATAAGCCTTAGCTTATTAATGATGTAAAAATTGACATTATTCAGTTAACATTAGCTATAATATGTCAATACATTTCATGTCTACTATTTGACTAAGAGAGATTTGTTTTTTTGCTAATATTTAATTTTAAAAAAAGGCTTGTCACAACTAGAAGGACCTGCAACTAAGATATACAACTATGTATGGGGGGTTTTGGGAAATAAAGCAGGAAAAAAAAAAAAAAAGGCTTGTCTTTAGGATAGGCAAGCTTGCTTAATTCACAAATTAAAAACACCTTGTGTTTTAACTCTTTGTTATCAAAACAGCAAATGAAGAATAAAGGAAATTGAGGAGAATTTGTGATAGTAAAACTGTATGAAGTCAAGGAGTTAGGTGAGGAAAGAACATTGGTATTAAAGTGAATTATAGTTTTCATTGATTTGAGCATTTTGTATAATATATTAGATATTATCCAGATTAAAAATTTGTATGATTGAAAAACCATTTTAAATTTTATGAGAGATTTAACAACTAAACTAGCAAATTCATTGTTCTGAATAACTATGCTAATAAAAAAGGCAATACTATAATGATGTAGTTACAGGAAACAGCCTAAATATTTGGGAGCAACAATTCCTGGCACAATATGCAATAAAAGCTATGATGCAGATATTGTTATGGTATGTAATTTTAATCTATTTCTACATTGCTATTTTTCTAAACATTTTATTATATTTTATAAGTATTATTTTAAGTAGTTATGTAGTGTATAATAACTTGATTTTTTCTCTATATGTATATTTATTATTGTTTCGTTGGGACAAAAGTATTTTAATGTTAGAAAGTTTAATTATAAATTTCAAACATAAATCAATAATATGAATAAACATTAATATATTCATTCACCAACTAGGTATGATGGATCCTAACATTGGCATCAGATTTTCTAAGATCATAATACATCAGAGCAAAGTTAAAACCCCCTGTGTGTCTCCTTCAAGTTCAAGAAATAGCACTAGTGTTGAATCTGTGCTTCCACTTTATGCATACTTTATACTGTTTTTACAAATGTGTGTATACATTAACTATATATTATTGTTCTGCATTGTCTTTATTTTATGTATCACTTCAGAACTATTAGAACAGGTTTTTAAAATATGTATACATATCGATGCATACAACTCTACTACAATTACTTTTTCTTTTAAAATTTTTATTTTACAAAGTGATGCACATATCCTTATTATAGATACAAATGGTTTTATAAGACTAATACTGAAAAAAACGTAAATCAGTCCCTTACATAATCTATACCCCCTGAATCCTATTTCTCATTTTTTTAACTTTTCCTCCTGGCATATAACTTCATGTCTATTTCTTTTTAATTGAAGTTTTATTGAAGTACATCATATATAGAGAACATTGCACGAGTCATAAGTGTATAGCACAATTAATTTTGGCTAAGTCAATCTATAGGCATAAACTTCACAGAGATCAAGTAGAATATTATCAGCACTGCAGAAGACCCTGATGAATCATACATCTTCCCACTTGCTACCCACACCAAAGAAAACCACTATCCTGACATCTATTGTCATTGTTCAGTTTGACCTTTTCGAACTGTATATAAACGAAATAACACAGTGTGTATTCTTGTGTCTGCCATTTATTTGCTTAAAATTATGTCTGTGCAAGTTCCATGTTTATATGTTTAGGAATTTTTTTTTTATTCTTTATATTTCTGACTGATATGCCCGTGACATTTCTCTTGTCTTTTCTTTTCTTCTTCTTCTTCTTTTTTTTTTTTTTTTTGCTGAGGAAGATTAACCCTGAGCTAACATCTGTGCCAGTCTTCCTCCACTTTATATGTGGGTCACTGCTACAGCATGACTGACGAGTGGTATGGGTCTGCACCCAGGATCTGAACCCACAAACCTGGGCTGCCGAAGTGGAGCACCAGAACTTAACCACTATGCCACAGGGCAGGGCCCCACCCATGACATTTCTTGAGTATTCAAATTTAGACGTTACCTATTGACTTCCTATTATTGAAGTCAGAATTTAACATCCTAATAGCTCATCACTTCTACATTCTGCCTCTTTCATTCTTCCTCTATAATTATACAGATTATTAGAATTGTATTTTATTCTCTGATGAGCCAAATAATGAACTAAGATTAAATTGCCTTTACTGCATAACTTTTGGTTCTTTCCAAATTAGTAATTGTGTCATACCGGTTTTGCCCAAATTCTTTAATAAAATTATAAATTGCCTCTACTTTTCTACATGTTTCAGAAATTACTCTTTTCAACTCTGGAGACATATCTTTTTATCAATCTATATTAGATCTTTTGCATAGCTGTTTAAGAAGCTTCTATCTTCTCTTCTTTGGCATATGATATTCTTCTTTCATAACTTGCTTAGTCGTTTTGTTAGAATACATGTTCCTAAAATTTAGTGGAAAAGTAGATGAGTAGTAAATTGTTTGAGAGTTGCATGATTGAAAATGTATTTAATTCTTTGAAAATATCGTTTGGTTAATTTTAGTTTTAAAATAATTGGACCTTGGAATTTTAAAAGTCTTCTTCTTTGCCTTTTAGCTTCTCTTTAGAAATTTAATGGAATTCTTATTCTCATTCATTTGTGTGTGGCCTGCTTGTTTTCTCAATGGAAACATTTAAGGTCTTTTTATCCTTGCACAGTGTCCTTCATCATCAGGTATGCTGGTTGTATTGAAGACTTTTTAATCTGGATACTAGTTTACTTCTGATCTGAGAAATTTTCTTATATTATTTATTTAATAGTTTTTTTCTTTTCCCTTTCTTTCTGGAACTTTGTTAATTCTATGTTAGAGCATTTTGACTCATCATCTAATTTCTTTTCCCTTATTTAATTTTTTTTATTTCTACATCCTCTAATATTTCTTTATATTGATATTTGGGATCATTCACTCAACTAAGTGCTCTCAGATCCATTTCCTCCTTATCCTCTACTCTGTTCTATCTCACAGGGAACTATATATTCCCTGGGCTTCTCTTACTTCTGGCTTTTGGGTATGTTCAGCAAATGTGCCTGATTGGAGGGAGGAGGAGAAATGTCATAATGTCTCTACATCCTGGTCCTGCTTGGAGCATTGTCTCGGAACAATTGCTTCCTGGCCCTGGGAAACAGCTCCTCCTACTGTGGGGTTAACTCCTGCTGAATGGCACTTGTTTTTGGATTCTAATAATAGTTCCTCATTTCTACATCCTCTCCTGATGTTGGTAGCAACATCTGCTTTTCTAATCTCAGAGTTGCCTCATCATCCTCTGTTCCTTCCTCAATAATTTGTTACCTGTTAACCAGTTTCTTTTATTAAATTATTTCTTCTTGGATCGTGTGGTGGCTTTAAAATAATCTATTTTTTGTTGTAACCACTAAACAAATATAGCTGAAAACCATGCCAAAAGTTAATTGTTTATGTTGCAGAATTATCAATGAAAGTTAGGACCAAGTCTGTTATTTTATAATTAGGGCATTAATTAGAATGGAGTGAAACCTCAGATTTGGGATAGTAACATTGGATGAACCACAATGAATCTGACAACTCGAAACCCCGATTTCTTCTAAGAATTTTTTGTTAACTGAAGTAGGCGATCTTCATCTGTCTGGTGAGCTGACCTTTCTCACTTTTCTTGCTTAAAGATCTGTAATGACATCATTTGAGTGGAATGCCTTATAATGACACCTATTCACTTCAAACTCTATCTCAAGGATTGGCAAATATTTTATGTAAAGGTCCAGATAGTAGCTCTTTTAAGGCTTTACGGGCCATGTGATTTGTGTCACAGGGACTCAACTCTGGCACTGTCATGCAAAACTCAACTTAGACAGGATATAAATTAATGAGCAGGACCGTGTTCCAATAAAACTTTATGAATACTGAAATTTGAATCTCATAAAATTTTCATTTGTCACAAAATGGTAAAAAATACCATTTTGATTTTTTGAATTATTTAAAACCATAAAAAACATTCTTATTTACAGACTGAACCAAAATCACAGGCCAGATTTGGTCTGTGGACCATAGTTGACTGACACCTGCTCTATTCTTATCAGCCCTTATGCCCACAGATTAATAATAATAGTTGTAAGGGCTCCTCTGGAAGGTGACAGTTTACAAGCCAAAACAACTTACAAGATCCTGCTATTCTATATTGACATGTTCCTGGGAAGAAGTGCAGGAATAGATACTAAGGGTTCTGAACAAAGAAGGGCAGAAAGATCTTTGGTTCATACTAAATTTATTAACATAGGGGAAAATACTTGAGATTTTGGATTTATTATGCCAGCTTAAACATTTGGGAGTGGCTTTAACAGTTTCATTGGTTAATTGAAATATGTGATGAATGGTGGTCTACTTGCAATGAAGTTGGCATAATGAAAAGAAGGGAATTCATAGATATATAGACATGGAGATATTGGAATGTATTTATTATTTTCATCAAACTCACCCATCTTTTGACTCTACATCTTGTGGTCACTGTCCTCTGTAGGCTGGGAAAGATAGTTATATGAGTTGTTTGACAGACTTTTCAATTTTCTCTGTAGATAATTAGGTCATCTTGCCTTGTTCCCCTATTTTAGAGGAAACGCATTGTCTTTCACCATTTTGTATGATGTTAGCTGTAGTTTTCTTACAGATGCCCTTTATCAGGTTAAGGAAGCTCCTTTTGATTCCCACTTTGCTGATGGATTTTCATTTGTTTGCTTGTTTTACCAGAAATGGATGTTGAATGTTGTCAAATATCTTAATCTGTATTTATTGAGACACTAATATGGTTTTTATTCTTTAGTTTAGTGATAAAACCAGAAGATAATGCTATTCATTTTCCTTTAAATAGTCATAATTGTTACAGAACTCTTAAGAAAAAACAGACCTCTTTTGTATTTACCCAGATTTCCATTTCCAATACATACTCTTTATTTACCGATATGTACTCATACTTATCATTTCTAATACATACTCTTTAATTTTCTGAGTATTTTAATTTCCATCTAGAATAATTTACCTTCAATCTAAATCTCTTTCTTCAGCAATTTTTGTAGTTCATGTCCACTCAATGAATTCTTTTAGCATTTTATGTGACAATATCTTTATTCAATCTAATTTGGGGCATGTTTTTGCTAAATTTATAATTTGGGGATGATAATCTTTTTCTTTCTGATCTTAAAAGATATTATTCCATACCCTTCTGCCTTCCTTGTTATCTAATGAGAATTCAACCAATAATTAAATTGCTGTTCCTTTGTGTGTAATCTGTCATTTATCTCTTGCTGCTTTCAAGTTTGTTCTCACTTGTTTACTTTCAAACCTTGGTTAATTTACAAAGGAATGTTACATTAAACTATTTCTTCACTCTTCCTGGTTACAAAGTAAATGACTAAAATATTAAGTGGGTGGTTCTTTTGATGTTTGGTCCAGCAAATTATGCTAGCTCTCACTAAAATCTAGGTGTAGTAATTAAGTGCATTATAACCATAATATGTTAATGATAAAAAATTGTTATTGCTTTCAACTGAAAGTTTTCTTAAATTCTCCTCAGATACTGAGACATTTTGTGGTGATTGTTGGATTTACTACCTCTGATAGAGTTCAATAAGGAGAGTTCCACTGCTTGATCCAACAGTGTCATGATC